GGGGGGGGGGAGGCGAAGGACACACTGGTTTACAGGGCTGCTATCCGTGATCAATCGTGAGGGGAGGTCAGGGTGTCAAATGTTGGCAATAGCAACAGTTTGTGTTGAGGCTGGGGAAAGTACGTGGCAAGAGCTTCCCCAACGATACACTTGCGTGGGTGAGGCAAGTGTTGTAGTAGTGGTGGTGTGGTGTGTTGTGTTTTCTTGGTGTGACTTAGATTTTGGTGAACCTTGCGTATTGTGTAGTTCGAGCTGCTGCTCGGAGAGGTTCGTCTCTCTTCTTTCGTGTTTACGCCTCTTGCGAATTATTGTCCGTGTTATTGGTCGCCGTGCGCAATTGAACATCTTATTGTGTCCCTTGGCTTCTTCTGTGGGTGCTCCATAGCGCTCTCTTTGCTGCAGGTTCCGCTAGGATGATGCGCCAACGGAAGTGCGTGGATGTGGCTACATGTGGCGATGACAGTTGGCGGTACACATCATGCCGGCTCTCTTGTTCTACTGTATGTATGGGTATGCATGTGTTTAATGGTACAATCGGATCAAGAATCGAACGCTGCTTCATCTTTGTAGAACTCCAATCTTGACGGAAGGCAGGTTCCCTGCTGCGTGACCACCCCGGATGGTTACGTAGTAAAGCTTCTTTTAGGGTCAGGGGACAAGTATGCGTAGAAAAAACAAACTGGAGAGACCAAGGACGGACTGAAAAATGGTGGTTCACGAAGAAACCATTTACTTTGCATGTTTTCTACTATAATAAGGCGGTTAATGGGTTCGGAAATCCAGTTCAAAAATGCGCAATTTCCCAACCCCAAGAAAACAACTGCTGCCTGCAAAAACGTCATCAGCCGGGGTCGCAAAGTACATGAGGATGGCCACGCAGATAGGCTGTTGTTGTTTCTTGTTAGTAGCAAACGCATATTGTAAGCACGCGAGGGAAACCGAGACGACTTCGTTCGCCGAAAACGAAAAAAGAGAACAACGGCAGAGAGGGGGCGAGTACGAGATAGAGACAACAGGTGGGGAACAAATACCACTGCTTGCTGTCGATTCGCACTTTTCGCATTCATTCGCACTTTTCGAACGGAACTCTTGATGCTACTGCATCCGGCATGGACTGCCACTGCCATGATGATATGCATACCATGCATATTGGAAAAGATGTAGGTGAAGGTTGCGTAAGATACCACACCCCCTGGACCGAATACTTCGAGAAGTTCGATTACTCAGTGATGAAGAAGATGACGGTGTTCCAAACCCAAATTGACACTTCTACGTTTGTGCAAGGCTCTCGAAAAGACGGTTGGTCACAACGTCACCATTATCGCCACCGTCACCACATAGCTGCAGAGTGATTGAGCTTTGAAAATCCGTTCCGGGAGGGTGGTGTCTACAGTATATTCTGTGTACTCACTCTCACCCACAAGATCCACAGATCCACTGACGGATCGTGGGCCCGAGTGCCAAAGGTATTTGGGAAAATAAAAACGTACACACACAGAAAGAATACCCGTTCGAGATACACCCACAGTCGAACGGGATGTGGTGGAGTCTTTTCAGTGAGTGGAGGAAAACGTATACTGGTATATGTAAAGATGGAAAGATGGAAAGGATAGATATGCGTACCTCGCGGCGTAGTGCGTAGGACACCTCGGGCCCTTCCCCCTCCCGGTTTGGTGGTGGCGCCCCAACCGCCGACCCCCCTATGTAGACGGACTTTTGCGGTCGCCCGCCACCCTCTTCCTTCCATTACACCGGTGCTTGACTGTGTTGTTGTGTCGAAGCTACTGCATTTGAAGGGCCGGTGCCGCGTGGGCTGGAACTCAACGGGAGCCCTCCTCCCCACATCTCGCATGGTTTCGTCGTGGCAGGCAGCTGCGAGCTCCAACATCGGGGGCAGACGTGAGAGCATACATCATGTATGTTTTTTTTTTCGAAAAATTCAAAAGAAGACTGCTGCTGCTGCTGTCGACAGGTGGCTATTATTAGCTGTGGAGATCAGCAAAAAGCTTCTTCGCTCTCATCTCTCTTGTTGAGATGGTATGCCCACAACAGTTTGTGTCGAGCCATGCCGAGCCACCGCCAGCAACCGTCATGGCACGGCTGCAGCAGTCCAGGCTGATTCTGGGAGTCGGGTACCGCTGGTTAACCCATCGGTTTTGCGTAACGAACCGGCTTAGAGCCGAAGCGATGTATGTACACAGCAGAGCCAAAACTGCTTGTAGATAATAACTCCCCGTATAACACACGCAGATCGTTTTTTTGTCATCTACTCCGTATTATTTTTCTGACAACGTTCCAGTAAAACAGGAGGACAAGGTCGTGAGCATACCGAACCTCAACGCGTACATCCCGGTGGCGACTGAGCTGGACCGGGGCATCGCGAGGAGCTTCTTTGCCGTCTTCGATGGTCGTGAGTGTTGCGTGCAGAAGCAAGTCCAGCGGTGGAAGTACGCATACCGTAGATTGCCTCGCTCAAGAAAAAGCAATTTTTACCCGCCTTTCCAAGATCGGTCCTACTATTTTTGTTGTATGTTTGTTGCCCTGCTCAAATTTTTTGCTCTGTTTATCTGGAAAGGAAGGTTTTGATGTATTGTTTTGGGTTGGATCGCTTGGCGGTGCTAGCTGCCTACGTTGCCGTGGGTGCCTCTCTCTATGTATCCGGCTGCTGACTGTTGCCCTGTAGGATGATGGTTTGGTGCATCCATCCATGGTACATAGCCGGTCATGGCTGACAACAGGTAACAACAACAAACAACTACAATGTAGCACTTGAAGAGGTGCAACAACGACAACGACAACAGCAGCAACAAAATCGGCCGTTATTCTCTCTGAAATAGAACACACCTACCTACCGTACAGCAGTAGTAGCTGCCAGGCACACACCCGATACCGTAGGTGCGCTCTACAGATCGCACACATGACGTCCCCTCTTTATTGCCTGTTGCTATTCTTTTCTGCAACAACAACGACACTACTGCTGCCGGGCGGGCGCGGGCGCGGGCTCACTCCACTCAGATGGAGGATCTGCCGCAAGCACTTGCTTGGCCAAGACGTTTCATGTGAAGCTGGCCAGGAGCCCGCTGCTGGCCTCGGACCCGAAGGCTGCGCTGCTGGACGTGTGGCAGTCCATGGATGGCGAGGTCTATCGTGCGCTAGCACAGGTCAGTCTCTTTGATTAACCAGATACATGCAGAGGTTGTCAGTGCGTGCGGACTAGGCAGCACGCAGCAGTTCGAGGTTGCCCCCTGCTGCTGTGGCCGCGGGCGCAATTTTTTCTGTTCTGAGAGTCATTAACTACTGCTGTGTATGAAGACCACCATCAACATCGTGTACGCACGTCCGCACGTACATAACGGGTGCATAGAACGGCTGCCTCTGCCCTCGAGGTCATGCAACCGTGGCCCCGGGCGCTTGCGTTTGGCTGCGGCCAAAGCGCGGTCGGTGTGTGCGTGCTGGTGGTGTCGGCGTTGGTACATGGTCGCCGCCGCGGTCATGGTTCCGAGATTGATTTTGGGAATTATTTTTGGCGCGAATATTAGTATTTCATTTCACATCTCTGTGGGAGGGAGGAAAACCAGGGGGGAAAACTTGTGCCGGTTGCCCACACGAGGATCCCCTATGCTGCTCGGTGGACTGCCCAGTCGAGCGTAGAGGGTTGGGTCATAGGTACCACGTTAAGTTTTAAATGGCGTTGCTAATTTCTTTATCGTGAACTCTGTGTTGGTCTACATACGGATCGGGTCATGATGATGGTCTTGTGTTTCAAGAAAAAATAATTCCGGAGTACTGCTGCACACAAGACGGGTATTTTAATGATTTTCTCCGGGGCACGACAGCAGCAAGTAATACTAAATAGGAAATATAAATACAAACACTCGTGGTATGTAGTATTATAGTTCATGCGCTCGTACACGCTCATCATCGCACCCGTTGATCCCTGCTGGGCGGGGAGCAGGGCGTGGGACAAGCAATTGCCGATGCAATGACCGTGGCCCCGGTATGCTTACATGCTATATTAGAGGTCCCATTATCAGAGAGGGGGCTCCGATTGTTGAATACTGCTGTACGGTCGAAAAACGGATCCACGTATAATAGCACAGAAGTAATTGAGTACCACCCCCTTATCCCGGTGTAAGAAAGAACATGAAGAGGGCCCTCCCTTATCCCTTATCCCGGTGTAAGAAAGAACATGAACAGGGCCCTCCCTTATCCCGGTGTAAGAAAGAACATGAAGAGGGCCCTCCGATTTACTGGAGGGCCTTTGTCACGCCACCCTCTTGTGTCGAAGCCGAGGATGACTCTACTGCTGTTGGTCTGCCGGGGTGGTACAATGTTACCCGTTATCGATGTGTGGTAGTCTGTAGGTACATGGCGGGATTGTTATCCGCGGACATGCCGTCGCATGGCGATCGCAGCATACCCGCGGATGATTCATCCTGCATCAACGTGATTCATGGGTCGAAGTTGAAGCCAGTTCGCCTTTTCAAGAGCTATCTATCTACATGTAGCGTAAGGCACGAAAAGAAAATCCGTGCATTCCGAGAGCACTAGGATTACAGTAAGAACAACGGGTTCGATGTTGGTTGTACAGCAGCAGATGACGGGTGTAATGGATGAAACGAGCTGGTAAATACTGCCTACCGCCTAACCCAGGCCCGTGGACAGCAGGCAGTCACACATGTTGTTGAGAAGCGGTGGTGTTGCAATAAGCGGGTGTGCTGCGCATGTATTCTGGTTTTCGGCCAATTGAGACAACGAGCGGTGATTGGCGCCCGCACCAGCCTAGAGAAAATTGCCGCTGCTGTACCTGGTGACATGGTTAGCAAGCTACCATGCCGTAAGATCCAAGGGCAAGCAACGCTGGAAAGAAGGCGGCAGAGAAAAAAGCCCAGCGTGCAATGGCGCCCCTTCGCCATGGACGAGGATACCATTTGGACCCGTATATCTTGCAGAGACCTTGGAATTTTCAGGCGGTGCGGTTAAGATCGACAGGCAAAAAACGCTGAAGGAAGGCGGGAGGGAAAAAGCCCCCGTGTGGCCCCTTTGCCACGGATATTGGGACCCTTGCAAAAGATACCATTCGGGGGGGGGGGGCATGCATGTATATCTTTGGAGTGATCTTGCTGCTGTGTGACCGCGGCTGGTGCCTCCAGAAATCGTTAACTACATGTACCGAAGAAACGTGGATGGACCGGAGTCCACGACGATTGGATGACGAAAAGAAAAAAATGGCTAGATAAAGCCGTACACTTACAGGGCATGCGTATGTGTATGAGCATACCCATTTCTTTCTGATTTTGTACTGCTTTCGTCGGGACATCGCTCTAAATTGTGGTCCCATCTCTTTTTTCGCTCGTACAGCAGCCAGTACTTACAAACATAGTTTTCAAAAGTGTGTGCCTTGAAACACAGACAACGCATGTTCCGTGCATTTGCCTCTGTCTGTCCCAGAAACACCGGCAAAACAACTTGAGGCCGACGATCATCGGCGGGGCACAAGAGACGTCGGGAGGGGCGTCGTTTCCATCGGGGGGGGCTTCGCAGTTTCCCCGGGATGGGAGCACCGCTACGGTTCTGCTGCTGGTCGGCAAAAAGCTTTACGCCGCAAACTGCGGAGATTCTGCAGGTGTCGTTTTTGTTGAAGAGGCTCTTCTGTGTTTTTTCCGATGAAAGCAC